TTCGAAACTCGCAGCTGGAGCGGAGCGCAGCCCGCCCCCTCTGAGAAGGCCCCTAGCAGTCCTGACCCCTCGCTGGACACAAAGCGATAGACTTCCAGGGGACCACCGGAGCGAGGAGGGAGGCCCAGGCTTGCCTTCCAGTAACGCGGGAGTATGTCCGGAATCCCCACGGGCTTCAGGCACCGGGGTCCGCCTGGGAGATGGCGGTAGGTACGCAGACCTCAGAATATTTGTGGTTCCTCACCGTCTAATTAAGAATAAGTCTGCCATCCTGCAGTGGGAATAACAAATAAAAGGCAAGAATGAGGAGTTCTGACGCACGGTTTGCAGCGATGGCAGTTAACCTGGAGTTGGGCTGAGTTGAATTTTAATCTCTGTCCTTGTCTATCTCTTTTCCGCTAATCTTTTCGCTCGATTAACCCCCGTCCCCTCACATTCTGATATTAAGGTTACCAGAGGAAAAGATTCCATCCTACCCCGAGTCACAGTACTTACCTGAAATAGAGGAGCCGTCACTGGCATCTCGGCGAATCATTGCGCTTCTGGTCTCCACTCCTACCTAGTCCTGGAGTTGTGGAGCCCCGAGGGGGGTGGGAAGGCTAGGGCTTCCGAGGGAGGTGGCCCACCTCCGCCAGGACCGAGTCTCCGAGGCCAGAAAAAGTTTCGCTTGCAACGAATCGAATGGGGAGCCAGAGGGAGGCGATGTGCCCGGCCAGTGCCATCCCCTGTCTCCTCCCTGCGGGCCTGAGGCGCTGGGAGTTGGTCCTGTAGCCCCACTGATCATCCCTGCTGGGTGAACGCAGACAATCCTCACCGCTGCGTTAGCTTTCCTTCCAGGCAAGAGTCCGGGGTCCGGACTCCTTAACATAACTCACATTCTAGAAGGACTCCCTCCTTCCCTCCCTCCCTCCCTCCCCTCGAGCCGGATTCTAAAGTCATGAGTGAACCATTTATAAAGTCCAATCTCAAAGTTTAGTATTGAAAGGTGGAGGGGGACACAGAGAGTAACTTTTATCTCAGAAAGGCAAAAAAAGACCAGCATCATGAACAACAAAACCCCCAAACTCAAGCTGATGCCCTTGAAAGATCAAGTGCTTTGTGTGCAAACTAATGTGTATATTTAAAAACTCGATTGCTTTCCTAAACTTACCTAAGCGTCACACATTCTCCTCGTGGCCTTACCTGCTTGGCCTCAGACACAGCTCATCAGCCGCTGCTTCTGTGGCTAAACTTTTATTCTTGACCAGTTTTTATTTATTGCATTTACTTCAGTGGCGCGCGCAATATATTTGAACTCACTGGTCTCCTTCAGATGGCTGCAGGGGCTGCCTCCTGAAGGTATGTCACGTTAGCATCTAGAAGGGGATTCCTTCATGTTCACAGAATTCAGTCTAGCCAGAGTCGTGACACACAGTAGGAAGAAGGAGAGGAGAAACAGGGACGCCAACCAGTGTCCATCTCCTAAAACCCGATATCCCATGCCTCAAGACCAACGCCTCGCTGCCACAGAACAGGCGTTTTGAGAGCTGGACAATTTCAGAGGTGGTTTTCAAAAGCTTCCGTTCTTTAAGAGTAGCCAGATGCTTCTTTTTCTAAAGTCTACCCTCGAATCGTGGCAATTCTACTTACTGTAAGTAAAAAACACAAAAAACCCAAAACGGGGGTAAGGGGTGGGGGAACTCAACAAACAATAACCTAAGATGAGAAAAGTTTTTTAAAAATACAACAAAAACCTCTTTCCTCCCAGCACCCCATCATCACAAGAGAGATAAACATTCCCAATAAGCGAATGCCCAATGAATTGGGTGAATTTAGGAATGATAGCCATGGGCAGAGATTCAGAAATGAAAAGTGAAGGAGATAGAAGAAATAGAGGGCCTCTGGGGACAAAGACAGGATGCTCCGGTGTCCTACAAGGGGATTAGGGAAATCTGCTCCTTGGAGGCAAGGATTCCGAGGCTTTGTCTGACATATTTTGGTCATGTTGTAAGGTGAGCCCGGTCCTTGGAGAAGGACATGATGCTTGGAAGGGTGGAGGGCGCAGACGCAGAAGGGGAACGCCCTCTGGGAGGTGGATTGATTCCGTGATAGGGGGGCAATCCAGATGTGTGTGTCGGAGACAATGAGATTGGCACAAGACAGAGCAGAGTTTAGAGATGTTGTACATAGGGTCGCTATGAGTCGCAAGTGACTAGACGGCACATAACAACAACATTGCTTCTCACGCCTCTGGTACCTGACTCAGGACATTTAGCCCTGCTGACCTTTGTTGAGCAGTTCGAATCCACAGACTGGCTTGTGGGAGGAAGGCACTCAGGGCACGAAGGAGATGGCGGGTTACTATGAGTTGTAACAGACTGCAGGTCAATGGAGTTTTGGGTCTGAGATGGGCTTGAGGGGAATTCTGGTGGGGATTGGGCTCCTAACCTATTATTGTAAGCCATCAGAGCTTCCACAGGAGAAAAGATGGAACTCTCCACTTTCCATAAAGACGTGATCCTTGGAAACCCGACTAGGCGATTCTCTTCTGTCCTGTAGGGTCGCTTTGGGTTAGAATCGACTGGAGGGCAAAGGTTGCTTTTCTAGGGGGTCATCTAGGCTTAAGGAACAATAAATTAATTGACACAATTCTGGGGAGAGCCCAGATGGCCTTTAATGAATCTCTTAAAAAATATAAAAAATAGAGGAGACAGGGCTCAGATGGCGCTGGCTGCAGGCCCCGTTAGCTCTGTGTTACCGGGAACCAACTCAGTTTGTGGTTGGAGTCGCAAGCTCTAGGCGGGGTGGTGGTGATGAAGGTGACGCGAGTGGCAAGCAGGGAGGCAGGGGAAGAATATGAACTGCTTTTCCATAAAAGGACAGGATTTTCATTATTCTTGTCTTTAAAAAGTAATACCCTCCTCGCTTTCGCTCCCCCTCCCCCGCCCTCTCTTTTATTTAACACAATTAATTGAGGCGTCCCCTCGCCTCCCCGGGGAACTGCACCACTCTCCAGGCCCCGCCCCCCGGCCTCGCCCCCTGGAGGGTAGAGGCGCAGGAGGTGGAGACTGGGCGGGCACAGCCCTACAGCCCGCCAGTATCAGCCAATCATCAGGCGCGGCGCTCCCGAGGGGGCGTGTCCCAGAGGCGACGCGAGGGCCGAGGAAGCGCTCTATTGGAGGCGATGGTTACGCCCCCGGCCTGTACCTCGCTCCCCCGCCCCGCCCTCCTAGGTCTTCCTGGAGTGACGTCCCTCAAAGTTCTCATTTTGGCCCCCTCGTCCCCCTCCCTTCCGTCCCCCCAGCTAAAGAGGGGTAGGGAGTGATGCAAATGTTTTATTACCTTTGAGAGCTTCATCCGAACTGTCAGGCCCAGAGGGAGAGAGGAGAGGAGAGGAGGGAGCGGGAGCGCGGCGAAGAGGGTCAGCCCGGCCGGACGACAGCACTTGGCGAGCGAAGGCTGGGAAATGCGAGCGCCGGGCGGCCAAGGCGCAGAGTGAGAGGCCGCGCGGGCGCCGGGGGCAGGGCGGGGCGCCAGGCCCGCGGGCGGAGCGGAGCGCTGAGCCGCGTCCCAGCGCGCGGAGTTGCCACTTCAGGCTTTGTTGCTCTGTTAGTGCCTGCCTTTTCCTTTTTTAAAATATTGCAACTGGGGTGACCTCAGACTAGACGCGTCCGGGAGCCGCGGGGGGCAGTGGCACTGTACTTCTCTGGGCCCCCGCAGCAGGGGATCCCGGTGGAGTGCGCGCGGCCCCGCGGGCCGGATGGTGGCTGTCCCCGCGCGCAGCGAGCTCCCGGTGGCCGGCGGCCTCGCGGCCGGTGGAGCCCAGCCCTCCGCGTAGATCAGAGGAGGAGACGGGAGGACCTCGGCGTCCTTTGAAGCGCCCCGAAGAAAGCCAGCCAGCCCCCACCCCCAACATCAAAGTGGAGATCCGGTGATCCCCGAACTTTGTTTCAAACTCTCAGGGACCCGGGCTGGCGTGTTGTTTTGCTTATTTCCTGAGCGGAGAAGATGAGAAGTAGTTTACTTTGAGCGTCCAGGGAAGTGTCGAAGAGGAAAGAGGGACGTTGAAGCCGGGATTTTTGAATCGAAAGGACAGCCAAACCCACCAGGGCGCGGACTCCCCGGGACGCACCACCGGCTCTCACGGGTCGAGTTCGGACGCTTCTGCTGCGCAGCTCCCCGCAGAGCCCTCGGTCCTGCGGCAGGTCCACCCTCCCGGTAGCCAGAGCAGCTCGTGGCTAGCGCCCTCGGCGCTTCGCGTTTCCCAGGCTCCGCCGGAGGCAGCGCGCAGCACCCTCGCGGAGCGGCTGCAGGCCCCGGCCGGGTCGTGGGATGTTAGCGGTGGGGGCGATGGAGGGCAGCCGGCAGAGCGCGTTCCTGCTCAGCAGCCCGCCCCTGGCCGCCCTGCACAGCATGGCGGAGATGAAGACCCCGCTGTATCCCCCCGCCTACGCCCAGCTGCCCCCGGGGCCCCTCTCCTCTTCGTCTTCATCCTCTTCTTCCTCCTCCTCGTCACCCTCCCCGCCTTTGGGCTCCCACAACCCAGGTGGCCTGAAGCCCCCGGGCGCAGGGGGCCTCTCCTCCCTGGGCAGCCCCCCGCAGCAGCTCTCGGCCGCCACCCCGCACGGCATCAACGACATCCTGAGCCGGCCCTCCATGCCCGTCGCCTCGGGGGCTGCCCTGCCCTCGGCCTCGCCCTCCGGCTCCTCCTCCTCGTCGACCTCGTCTGCCTCTGCTTCCTCCGCCTC